TATTTCTTTATTATAAAAACTTTCAATTTTTAAATTATGTAATTCTGAAAATTCAGTTAAGCGAATGTGGTGCACATTTTGCTAGTAATAATGGGAAATTCTGAAAATTCATGCTGTTGTCTTAAGTTAATAGATGATAATTGGAAGGGAGAAGTGGTGAGAAAATATAGTTAGTGAAAGGAAACAATGACTTTTTGTAAGGATCCCTCACTTGATATAATATTACTACATTGTAAATCATAATCTCACTTTTGTATGTTGTGACCTTAAATAAAAGCATCACATACTTCATTTCAGAATTATTAACTACAGTGGGCTTCCTAGAGATTGGCTACTGATTGCTTGCCTTAATTTATTAAACACAACTTAAGCTAATAAGGAAAAATGCATTTTACTTTAACTTTTTTGAAAGTCTTGAATATTCTAACCTGCTGGCCTCTTCCCTTGTGATCTCTTGTGCTTGCACAGGTTGTATACTGCAATCCTCCTCTTCTATCTTTGCATATGTGCTCAATGACTTACAATTTGTAATAGCTGTTATGTTTTGCAGTATGTTGCCAGTGACTGCTATATGATTCATTAATACATTGTATTTGTTCATAATCACAAAGACAGATGTCAACATGTTTGTAAAGCTGTCTTGGAAAGAGGACTTAAACCTCTAGCATGTTGTGATACTGGTAAATGCAAAGTGATGCTGAGAAAAACATAGCTTGGCCAGGTTTATTTTAAAGGTATAGTACTGTGTACTTAGAAGCAAGTATGCCTGCACGGTGTTACAGCTTCTTTTCTTACACTCTAGTTTAGCAGAGCACAAAGGTATGAGAGTGAAGACTTAAAAAGGAAATGGATTTTTTTTTATTTATTTTCTGGTCAGGCATGACATAAGTAAACATTTTGAAATAAAAATACCTAAATCCCCAAGCAGCTATTATTTTCCAAATTACCTCTGTTGCAATTTCATTTTTTCTTAATAGCCATTGTTTCAAGACTTTGTTTCTTGTAGGCTTCATTTTTATGAGGACACATGTTACGCTTTTGATTGTGCTTCAGGGAAGGAAAAAGATGAACTCTTTGAAGGTAGAGGTGAATGAGTATTTGGAAAAGACCTAACCGAAACTCTGTGTTTTTACTATTATTTGGGAGCATTTTTCGCTCTTAACATTAGCAGGTAGTGCCCATTCCCTGTGAGTTAGTGGTAATGCTTTGGCCCTGGCATGGTTCCTGCGTTAAGTCCCAAACAGTCTTTATATTTACTGATGTGCATCTATTACCTTGTGTAGCCATCCACCTGCTGTGGCTTTGTTCTGAAGCCATCGCACTGAGTCTATTACCCATTGAGTACATACTTCTGATTTAATTCAGAGTTAATTGTGTGACAGATGCATGTAAGTAGGGATCGCGAAAAGTGTTTTGAGTGTGCGTATGTAAGAGGCTGTTGAGTTGAATATATTCAACTGTACGCCCTTGCTTGGGCCATGCTGTCACTAGTTTCCTAGAAGGTCTTTGCAGAAGGTAAAATCAAAGGTGTTCTTCCATTAAATTTCAGTGTGCTCGGATAACAAAAAGAAAGAAAATGCCTCGTTGCGTCTTTTAGCTATTTTTTCAGTATCTGTTTCCAAAGAATGGTGAGAAAAAGAGTAGACTGTGAAATGCAGTTTGAGTTTTGATTTGCAGTTGTGTCTTAATGAACACTATGGCATTCCTAGGACCTTATCCTAAGGGCTATAGGAGCTGTTTGGGTGTACTGTGTGCAGAATTGCTTTCCCATTCTGTTTCTCTGAAGAGCTTGCTTGGTACCTTCTCGCTGAATAGTCCCCTTTGTTTATGTGACTTGCTCGGCCTCTCTGAGTGGGATCTATCACAAACTGTATCCATCTAAATCAGTACTGCTGTATTCTCTCCTGCTCAGCACTGATGCTCAACCAGTCCCAGGCAGAGCCAATGGAGCTTGCAAATCCAGAAAAAAACCCAAAACAACAACAACAAAGTTCATTGTTTTAGTAAGTTAGCCTTCTGTCAGGTTACCAAGTTGGACTAGCTCATCTCAGGGCCAAATATTGGACTGGCTGTGCTGGTCTGAAGGAGGCAGAGGGAGGGTTTGTGCCTGCCAGGGAGGGTGGCAAAATTGCAGCAGCTCCCCTTCATTCACATTGGCTTAAACTTGTTGCAATGCTGTACGCTCTCAGTTCCTTTGTGCTGGCTTGGGTAAATAATCATCCATAAGGTACAGCAACCATTTCACTTGCTGGTATGTTTTTCGTCTGTCACTCGGTCTTCAGAAAGTGCTTCTTTTCATAAAACTTTACACCATTAACCTAAGATAGCCATATGTTCTCTGCCACTGGCATTTTGAGCTGTGCCTTCAAATGGTACATGATTGGGTTTGGTGTTTATGCTTATTGAACTGAAAACACACACCATGAGAGTAGTTGATCAGCTGACCAGTCTGTTCTTCTAGTTGAAGATCTTTGGAGTAGCGGTCTTAAAAAAAAAAAAAAATGCCTGAATGGACAAGTTCTTTTCATAGCATGTGTATCTTTACTGCATGTTGGTACATATGTTACTATACTTTCAAAAGAGCTCAGTTATTGGTGGACTTGCAGCAGCAGCACAGCCCTGATTTTAGTACTAGCTTTTAGTACATACTCAGTTCAGAAAGTCTTGTGTAGAGAGTATTGAGGTTTGGAATTGACACTGCTCACAACTGCTGTTGCATATAAAAAGCTGTTTAAAAAACCAAAACAAATAAAACCCCCCAAAACCCCAAACCAAAACCTGCCAGTTTGTTTATATCTTGACTTAACACTTTTTACATAATTTTGAAAGAATTTGAGTGTTAGTAAAATGTTCCCCTGGCACCTTTCAGTGGGGAAGAAAGGATGTTTTACAGTTGTTACAGTATTAGGTTTGAGCTTTGAGTTCAGCTCATCCTTATTTTAAGTGATATATTGAATCTCAATATAACTTTAGTAAAGAGTAATACCAGGATATAGAGCTAGTCTTTGAAGTGTTTTTAAAGAATACTGGAGATGTATTGATTTAGCTATAGAATTAAGATTGTGTTAAAGCCTATGTAAAATAACTTCATTTCGGTGTTAATATTTATAAAGGTTTAAAGAAATTATAAAAGGAAAAAACAGTTCAACACTTTGACTATAAAAACTGGTCTGATGATGTTTTCTAAGTACATATCTTTTCTTTCTCAACAACTGTTGGGTGTAATGAGAGGAAGAGAAAGAAAATGGAACCATTAATGCACCATATGTACAAAACAAAAAAACCCAGTCTGTAGGTGTTATATTGAACAAGAATTTTGTTTAATCCCATCTATTTTTTTTAGGTAGATAGCTTTACTTGTTTGTATTGCATTTTGAAAGACTTGCACCCAGTAATAGATACTTGCTGTTTGTGTTGTTTTTTCTTGTAAGCTAAAAATATATATATATTAGGTCTTTGTATCTGTTGGAAACCCTTCCTTTCTTGCGTGAAATATTTGGTTTTGCACAGTTTAACCCTACATATGTATATGGGGTGGTTTGACATCCATCCATTATCAAGCAACAAAATTATACTACGTCTGAATGATTTGGAGTTGTTTCCTTTTTAGAAGAAATAAGTAGCTTCCCCTTCAAATCTTGCTAGGACAGCAGCTGCAGATGAGAATGAGCTTCCATATTTAATACATTCTATTAACTTCACACATACAAACACACACGCACTCACTCACGCACCCCAGTGTCACACTATAGGTGAACAGGCCCTAATTAAAATCATGCACCATCTGCCAGTGTGCGGCAGCAGGGTGGCACTCCATAACCATCCCGATTCCTGTGATTGAAATGTATTATTTATGAGCTCAAAGAGAAAATATGCTGCTTGGCTGGTGGAGGCTGTATTAGGAGCTGGATAGCACCATCTAACGGTACGGAGTGCCGCTGGCTATTCATCTTTCCCCTTCTTCCTCTCCCCTCCTCAGTCTCCTCCCTCAATATTTTATTTTTCAACATCATCTTTGGAGTTTTTTATGTCTGTTTCAGACAATTTTGTGTCTCGTGTTTCACTTTTATACAAGATCAAAAATTATTGTTGAAATATTACACTATTTGTGGTGCAGCAGCCTTTTTTTTTTCCCATCCAGAGCCACACATGGGGTTTTACTTTCTGTAGTAAAATTGATACTGATGTGATGTGCTGATAGAGAAGTAGGACATTATCAAGATAGCTGAGCAGGATCAGTTTACTGCCATTTCTCCTTCCCCTCCCGAGCATGCATGTAATGAAAGTATCTACTACTCTGCAGCTTTGGACCTTCCTCTCAGAAAGCAGAGATCATAACCTCTTCCTACTTGCAGAGATCGTGTCCTGTTACTGTTTCTTAGTGGGGAAATGGATGAGAAGGTGTTGGACCAAGGGGTGAAATATGCTTTCTCAGGAGAGGGAAAAGGGAAACTTCTTGTTATGGTTGGTCCATCAATCTGCCTTTGACTGCTAGATTACAAAGTCAGAACTAGTAATAACATACTTATTAACTAGTAATAACATATTATTAACTAATAATAACATATTTAGTGGTTAGCTCAATGACCTTTAGAGTATGCAGAATATCAATAGTCACACTGATTCAAAATAATTTTGGGGGATGATTTTTTGGTTCTTAGGCTTTTTCTTATGTTCTTGAGCTTTGCAGTATCTATGCCAGCCATTGACCAGTATGTTTACAGCAATAACAAGCAGTAAGGACTGGACTGATATGTGAAATATGAATTTTTTTCTATTATAGCTTCCAGTAAAACCACTTATTTCCGTAATTAAAGAATCTGATTGCTGTTTTGATTCAGGCAAGACAAGACCCTGAATAAAAGGATATGTGTATAAAGCTGGGCAAAATATATATGCGTATGTATTTTTATTTTTAAAAATCAGCATGTTTTAAAGAATGTTGAAATATCATGAACTGTGGCACATCAATGAATACATGTCTTATTGTTTGTGTTTAGAACGTATGCCATCAGAAGGATAAGAGATGCCTTCAGAGAAAACAAGAATATAAAGGATTCTGACAAAATAGAAGAGCTAGTGAATAAAGCCAAAGCAAATCTAGAGGTTATTCATCGGCAGGTATGTTTATTTCTCTCATTTTATCTAAGAGTTGTACACTCCTCAGTTAACTGTCTTATGCCACTACAGATGGAAAAAATAGATCCTTGCTCAAAACACCTCTGGATGAACAGTAAGTTTTGTGTGTCTGAGTTTGAGACGGTGGGATACATCCATTTATCCCTGATGGTTGCAATAGGGGGTTTAGGGATGTTTGTTCCATTAACCAGAATAGGCCTAGCTGTCAAAAGTTTGTGTTCTTCCATTACCTTTTCTGCTGTTTCTTTTACGATCTCTTCACTCTGCTTCTCTAGTCTGCCCTAATTTTCCTTTGAATCTGTTTCCTGTAGCTCATGTATTAAATTCCTTTCCTCATGCTTTCATCCTTCTATCGTAGGTTTAGAAGAGTGGCCGTGACTCTCACTCTGAATAGTCTTGCCTTCTGTGTGTGTTTTTCCCCACCTCCAGATAGTGTTAGAACAGTAGCAGAACAAGAAAATACTAAAGTGAATTAAGTAAATGCTGGCTAAATGTGTTCAAGTAGGGTGGTAGATTTTTCTTTGGAAAAAGTCGAGTCACTGTCAGTATTTTTCTCTGACTTTGAGTAGCATTTATAGCATCTGTGTTCCTTCCACTGGGTACCATATTATTTAGACATGAATTATATTTTGTTGAACTTTAGATGCTTTACTACTTCTCGTACATACCCACTGTCTATCTACAGTGACCACTGGAAATTTGAAGAAAGCAAGCTTTGACGCCTGAACTCTCTAAGGGCACTTGCAACACTTAAGCTGTCCCTCCTTGCAAAATATGTACTTACAGACATCAGTCAGAGCTCAGTAGTACTTCTATTAAATATTGAATGAATGTGTGCACCCATTCCTCCATGGTCTGTTTTAACGTGAATCTTTTAACAACCAACAAGTCAGTTAGTTGGATTCTTACTTCAGTTGGAAGTTGGGCCCTTTGATTTGACAATTAAGTATGAATATTTTGGTGCAAGTTAAATTATTTCTTTGGAATTTCTTCTCCCAGGAACAGGTGGTGTTTGGTGCTACCATAGCTTTGCTATTTTTTTTAAACCAAACACTGCTATTTTTGTATTTTAAAAGTGTTTCTCAAAGAAGTAATTCAGATTGGATTGATTCAATGCAATTATATTTAAATGTTGGGGTATTTTTTCTCCTATCTGTAGGTGATGATTAGCATTTTCAGCTCTTCTTTTTTGAGGTTTTATCTTGGAGAGCCTTGATATTCAGTGTTCTCCGGGGAGGTATTAGAGGCTGGAGAAGACAATGTAGGAGGAGTTGTTGCAGAAGAGTCGGAGCTAGTAGTTTATTGAGTTCTAATCAGTGAATTTAGGTATGTAAAATATTTAATAAGTACAGATGGTTTGGTGGTCAATCTCTTCTATTTACTACACTTTGGGATACAAAGGTTGTCACTTAAGCTTACTATATGTATGTGAAATGTTACATGTGAGCAAAAATGTCCCTTACCAACCCATCGATGTCTGGTGTCAGGTAAGGGATCTCTCAGCTTGGAGGGGTAACCTTGAGAGTGGTCCCTACTCAAGGGGAGATCACTGCTGCATAGTCAGCTGCCGTAGAAGGAGAGAGCTCAACAGGCCCTGATGGCTGCAGGTATTTATAGTGTAAAGTGGTTGATTTGTAGTCAGATTTTCTGCTGTGTAAATGCAGTTTCAGCCTCTTACCTTCCCAGTTTCCAGCCAAATGGGTTTTTTGGAGGTTTGGTGCTGAGTCCTCATTGATGGTTTCACACAATAGGATTAACTTCAGTTAGGTCTACTTGCTGAGCATCTGCCCAGACCAAAGTTCAGTTAATTCAAACAGGAGGAATGCATCCATGTCAGGAGGTGGCAAAAGATAAGAATGCACAGAGCCAAAATCTGCCACTTATAAAAATCTGTATCAAAGTAGTAACAATTTGTGGACATGGGATCTCCCGTAATAAAATGCTACAGAAAATTTCTTCTAGGTTGTGGCTAAGATAAATTCCTGTCAGCATGTCAGAAAATCCTCTATGATTGAAAGTAAGAATGTAAACAATATATCTTTGATAAATCAGGATAACATTAGTGAGGCTACCACAGTAACTGTTTTGCCATGAAATGGATGACTGAAGTGTATTAAATTTATTTTTGTTTTAAAATATCTTAACTAGGACCTACTTGGCGCAACTCTTTTATAATAGCAAGTACTTCCTTTTTCTGAGGAGAGTTCAATTTCAAGGTATCAAAGCACTTGAAATAGGTGGGAAGTTTTATTAGTCCTTTATAGATACGTATCTGGGATGCTGAAATGAGGATGCTCATTTGTAGTACCTTAATGTTGGGTACCCTGACTTGATGTGGGTAGGATTTGGCTCTTGCTGGTTCTATGAGCCTAAATAATAAAAGGCAGTTCTAAGTCAGATGGTGGGTAAGTCTTGCTAAAATAAAAACTTCCCAGCTTTTCTTACCACAAAATATGGTTCTGCTGACTCATCTGGGACAGATTTTAAAATAAAACTCTCTACTGTCTGAGCCCTGTGAACACCCAGATTGCCTTGTTACTGTAGACCCTGAAAAAAGATACCATTTCTCTAAAACAACCTCTTGACAGGGCAAACTCTTTTCCTTCTAGGATGTCTTGTCTTGCACCTTTTATGAAGTTTTCTTTTAGCCTAAAGATTGTCCCTCAGCATCAGAGAGGTCTTTCAGCTGCTTTGGAAAGACTAGGAAGAGCAGGCAGACTTGGTTGATCTCTGACTGGTATACTTAGTCACCATCCTTTGTAAGGAGGTAGTTGGGCTTTAAGGACATTTTGCTAGTGAACATTTTGGTCATACATAAACATATACACAAGTATCTCTAACAAGCCTGTACGTGAACAATAGGTAACTGTTTCATGTACTGGCCTGTATTTTGCACTGGTAAAAATGTGCATTTAATTCTTCATTCAAGAAAATGACAGCAATAAAAGGTTAGACAAGATTTGTTATTTTCACTTAGCATAGATTCTGCAGTTTTCATTGCACCAGCAGAACCATTTTAATCTGCTACTTTTTTTTTCCGTTTTGCTACTTTGTAGTAATGGCAAAGAAATTTTATAAGAAATCTTTCTTGGCTTGAGATTGAGGGAAGTCATTGAGAGCCACATTTCGCTCTACCACGTAATACATAAATCTTACTTTAAAATGTTTTATATGCAGGCGTGAATTTTTCAGCCAGGAAGATGTTCAGAAGCAAAAAGGGCATGTAGGGTTCTGGTTCCCTGGAATAGCACTGCTTGAATTTTCAGAATATGAAAATCTCTCCACATATGTTTTAGTTTTGCGAGCATAGAAAGCTAGTGTTTAATACAAATATCTTAAATATATTTACAATCTAACTGTTGTCAAGCAAATGACATTACCTATCTCTCTGTTGTGCATTTGTTACTTGGAGGGTATCTTTGTCACTGGGACATACCAGAATAATGCAGAATGGCCTCAGTTATTGCTAAACCTGCAGGGTTTTACTTGTTTTGTTGTTTCAAATCTCAGCTATTTAAGGGGTTTCTCCCACATGCGAAACCGATGTACTAAAGCTAAAGTAGTTTTAAATTGGATCACATTTTGGTACCATTCCATGTAAGAATTTCAGGAAAACTATACTTGAAAAGTAAGGAATACTTAAGAGTCTGACACAACTTCCCATTTTTAACACTGCTAAAACAGTGAAACTTAAGTTTAAGTATCTCTTATATGTCACACTTCTGGAAGTTTTCCAGACAAAGTATAATCATGCTGCATTCAGTTTTGGAAGGGTGTATGTGTTTATCTTATGTTTGTGGGAGTGAGAAACAGTAACACACATAGTAACATAATAAGTAATGGAACTTTTTAACAGAAAATAATCTGATAAAAGAAAACTAGTTTATCAAGCTAATTTTTTCACATGAGTCCCTGCAAGACTTGATGTTTGGTTAATAACGATTATTTTTTCTGAGTCATTCACACCCCACCCCCCAAAAAAATCTAAAAAATGGAGAACTTGTTCTTTGCAGAATTTCTATTATGTTTTGGTGTCATCTCACTTTCAGCTGTAAAGCAAGAGATAAATATTGGAAAAAGAGCAACACTGTCTTAAAAGTAAACTTTTCATCAGGACTATTTAAAAACCTTATCAACTAAATTCATATTAATATTTACTTGCTGTCAAATTTAATCATGCTCTGTGGAAAAAATAATCATTCATGCTCCCTGTTTAATTGAAGATCTAAGTAATGAAGTCATCTAACATTATTAAGACTTTTATACTTAAAACTAACCAAGCATAATATAAAGTGCTTTTATTTTTAAATGCAGAAGCACTGAAGCAAACATGAGATCTAGCATACATTTTTTTGCTAAGTTTGGTGTTTATTATGATGTAGTGCATCTTGGTATTGCTGACTTTTTCATAGCGTGTCGATAGAAATTAAATAATATCCCACTTTGCTGACAATTTGTTGTTACTCTAAGATCAAATTTATATTCACTTTATATTCTAATTTATGGTTTAGTCATCAAAGTGACCATTGAAGTGTAAGGTTCATAAATAACTATTTGAATCAGCCTAGTGGGAAATGTGAAAATAGTGACAGATTACTGTCATTTTGTTCATGTCAGTCACTGTACAATTTGCTTCGATGTTATAAAAGTAGCTTTATAAAGCTGAAAAGCATGGAGGAACATTAATCTCTGTGCCTTAGTCCTCCTCTGCTTGTTATTGGTTTCGATTTAAAGTAGTGGCCAGAGGAAGGAACAACTCTGCTTCTTTTCTTAACACTGAAGATTTTTTGTGTGTGTTTACTGTGTAAACAGCACAATTTGTGGTGTCTTCCCTGTAAAGAAGGGAGTTGTGAGAAATGCGTTGTCACAAGCAAGTTTGAAATAGCAAGTTTTCAAAAGTTTTGAGGTTTATTGTAATAGCCATTCTCCAGCTATGCTAACGTGATGTCATTTGTGAGTTTCCGTCACTATGGGAATGTTAGCCGTAGGAGAATTTGCCCCTCTGGAGGCTTTAGTATCAATTATACTGGTTTTGACATCACACAACTACAGTACTCTTCAGTAAAACGGTTTTGATATTTCACAGCTTTCGTTTGTCCCTTTAAATAACCCAAACTGATGGGAATCATAGTTTGCACAAATTGTTAGCAGGGAGACAAGAGATGCACTGTGAGCGGTTAGACAGTCAGGATATGTGGATCCGCTTCCTTTACAGCTGGCTGGTCAGCAGCGTTTTCTAAGGGAACAGATGAACTTTTCTTAGTCTGAGTTGTTCTTCCTCAGGCTTGATCTCGTACTGTTCCCTTCAGATGTGCAAAAGAATGAAAAAATGTGGTTTTGAAGTATGAGAACTTTGTTAAAAAGGTTCCACTGATAATGGTAACTATTGAGTATTTGCAGCTTTTTTCATGTTGGCAGCATGTTGTAAGTACATTCTAATCCTTGCAATATTCATTGATTATAGTAACTTTAGCTCCATTTCTTTTAATGAAATGCTTCATGACTATGGCTTGATAAAAGCCCGTGTCATACCAAGTGTGAGATTTCAGTCTCATGTTGTTTTTGTTTCTCCATGTTTGCCATTTTTAGTAAAAATTATTTTGGTCTTGTTTTGAAATTTGTGTAAAATAAAAACAGTCCAACAGTTCTTCTGGATTTTTTTTTTCAGCAAGCCAAGTTGCCAGTGCAGCTGTGTGTAGCCAAGCACTGCGCCTTCTTGGGATGTTCATGAGCAGTATCTCATCTTAGCAATATCATAGATTCAAGTAACAGCTGAATGGAAAATGGAAATGATAATGAATGAATGTACTAATACAGCACTCATATTATTATGAACTGGTAATAATATAGCCACAGCATAAGGAAACATATTTCTGTTAATCAAATTCATATAAATATTAAAGCATGTTTAATATTAGCAAGACAAGCAATTTGAATTATAGTTACTCTAAAAAACAAATTGTAGAAGTACCTTAGTTTACTGCACCTGCTTTGGATTTTATTGCTCATCCTTCGTGGCTTTATCAGCAAATACTCCCGTTGTTTTCCATAGTTCAGTTCTAGTAATCCTGTGAGTGATATCTGGCAATAGCAGGTAAATTAGTAAATGCCAATGTGCATGTGTATCTCTGGACTGAAAGCATATTGCTGAGCATTCAGAGGACTGCTACCAATTTACGCATTTGTGAGTGACATTGGAATTGACCGTCTCAAGGAACTTCTCAACCTTCAAGAAATATCCTGTATATATGAAGATACCTGTGTTTATACTGCAAAGCACTGTAAGCTGGATGCTTTTAGCAGGAGAAGGTTCATTATGAAAATTCCTATTGGTAGTTTTAGTTTCAGGGTGCAAGTTGTATTTGTCTAATTTTTATGAATATATAAGAAAGTTGCAACACATGGTCTAATGTATTTAATTATGTTAGCAGTTTTGAAACCAAGAGGAAAGAATAGCTGGAAAAGCTCTTTAAGCATTCTGAGTACAGAGTGCAGCACCCACAACCACTGTTCAGGAATGTATATGACTTTGGCAAGTCATGTTTTCCTGTTGGCACCCAGTTATGTTGGAGCTCTAATATGGCTTCCTCTTATCAAGTTTGTCACTGCAAGGAAGTTTTAAAATCACAGATTAATTTACTGCTTTTCCTCAGAAGCTCCTTGAATTTAAATTTTTTGTTTAACAATGACAAATACCTATTTTTCTAAAAAAAATTACAGACTTACAGCTCTTAGATAAGAGGAGTGTTCTTGGAAGCTTTCTGCTTTTTTACTAGTGTCATATATTTCTATTTATTATAGTTGCACCTACACATTCCAACCAGGATAGAGCCAACATTATGCACAGTGTGCTATTCCTATCTCTTCAACATGTACTTTGTTAAAGCAAGTGTAGACACAGGAAAGAGCTTTCAAATGCCTCATTCACAGAAGAGGAGCAGGTGAATGACATAATCAAACAATGGACAAAGATCCTATTAAAACAATTTTGTCAAGTTGCTGCACAGTATCAGGTTTTGAAGGTAATGAAGCATCTACACACTTCTAAATACTTGCAATGGCATCTAGAATTTAGTAAGTGGTGTGAGCCTCTTGCACTTCTCTTTGCTCCTAGCCTGTTGTAATACAGGCAGTCAGTTTTTCATTGCTGTAGCAGATCATCAGTTCTCCCTTGATTGGTTCCCTGCATGCATTTACAGCAATTGTGCTGGAAGCCTGTGGCAAAGCCAAAACATGAATTGAAATCAGCTGACTTTGGTTTTTAGAAGGCTTTGGGGGGATTTTTCTGTGGGTTTGTTTCGTGTTTTCTTTAAATTCCAAAGCTCTTTGGGGTGATATTTTTCAATATTTTTTTCCTCAAGGTCATTTAAATCCTATTTATTATGTTCAGGTTGCACTTACTTTCTGTGGGATTTGAAAACATAACTCAAGAAATATACATTTGTATATGTCGTCTTTTATAACAGTAGCCTAAAAGGAAGAATATGATTAA